GCTAATACACCTACAGCAAGTTCTTCTCCAAATCCTTCCATTAATGAGAATCACGAAAATGTTGCTGACATGCCTCATTCTACAGTTTCATCACCCGCAGCTCCTAGGATGATACATTCTTAATCAATCAAACTATCTAGAAAGGTTAATTTACCACAAAGGTATAAGGATTTTGAAGTTTCTATGCCTAAATTAAGGACAACCTCTCACACCTTGGCACATGTATTTTCTTATGACATTTTCTCCTATAAGTATAGATCATATGTTTGCAGCGCATCTATTCTCGTTGAACCTAAAATTCTGGGCTAGTAGTTTTGATTGACACTTTTGGACTTTCTTGGTTTTTATTGCAACAAAGAAATGAAAATTATGTTAATTGGATATTAATAACGTAACAACCCAGATTATGGACTAGTAGTTTCGAGTTTACCCGAGAGGTGAGTAGACCTCATGAAATTCATAAGTAAAGTTGTTGGGCTTAATTGAGTTTGGATTTAGGCCCAATTAGCCATAAAAAGGGGATTTCAAATTGTAGAAAAATAAAGAATGACTAATTGTGCAAATCCTCTATTTTTCAACATGAGGGTTTTATATCCCATCCTATTTCTCTTCTCTTCATTTCTTCTTCTTCATTTTATCTTCCTTCATCTTCTCTAAGTAGCTATATCTCCAATGTAAGGTCTTGAACCTTTTTCTTGTTTCATTTTCGTTCTTAATCCCCCTTGCAAGATAGTTTTAAAGAATCAAAGTCTTGGTTTAATCCTAGCAAAGAAAAGTGGGTAATTTCATCCAAATCACAAGGAGAAGAGTATGGCTAAGCAAGGAGCTCAATTTCGGGAGTCAAACATGAAGGTAGTATATTTATAATTTTTTGGAGTATTAATTTTTCATAAATTTAGTGATTTTGCTCAGATTTGGTTAATTGAGCATTTTATGGTTTATCTTTGATTTATAAAGGAAATCACGTTTTAGGTGTTAATAACACGTTTTTATGATACCCCGAGACATTAAACAACTTACTAAAGCTTCAAAATAAAGTTTAGAAACCAAACCAAGTCATTTGAGATGATTTTTGAGTTATTTTCAAGCCTAAATAAACTATTTTAGGGTTTAAGTATTGATACTAGGATGAATAATGTTTATATTAGTTAAATAGGGGCTAAATTACCTATAACATCGATACTTAGGGTGGCAGCATCGATACTGTGGCCCAATTTTTGCAACAGAATACATTATTGGTACTGGTACTCATAGGGGTATCGATACTTAACCCTAGGGTATGTATATTGCAAGTAGAGGATTGATACTACTCACTTTGGATGGTTAATTTTGACCGTTTGAGGTCTATAATAGCTAAGGATGATCCGTAATAGTAAGATTTAGTATGTGAGGGGCATAAATGACCAAACGAACCTAGAAACACTCATAAGAGCATATCATATCAGGTGTAACCATATTAAGCATAATACGCTATAGTGTCTTTATTCAAGGACGTATATAGATAGTTTGGACTAAGGATCATTACATGAGACATTCGATAAGTGATATGATGTTTATATCAGATTCAGTGGCAACGAAAAACATGAGCTTCGAGAATGTCAGTGAACCTAAGAAGAGTAAGTCATCTTTTTCAGTTCAATAGGTTCTGAAGGGAATTACGATAAGATCAAATAGAGTACCGCTACTCATAGATGAACCCAAGCCAGATATCAAGCTAGCTAGATCCATAGTTAATAAATTAGCCTTCGCATAACGTTCTAGATGAGAGGATAAGCGAGACAACGATTAGTGTGATGTTGACTTTACTTTAGTGAGTCCATCTATGTTAAGGTATACCTAGGTTACCTTAGTTGCCCTAGTGGGGCATTGTCAGTACACGAGGCACTTCAGGGGCTAACTAGGGTGTGAGACCCAAACACTCGTGAGGAGTGGGTTAGCAATGTCAGTGTTATATGGCCTATGGTCCTTAGATATACATGTGTAGTTATGTTAGTTCAGTTCAGTTGGGTAAGCTTTCGATGCACATAAATTTTGGTTCGTGCCCCTAGACTATTCAGTATTCAAGGTAGGCTGGGGTGTTGTTATAAGATGCACATAAAATTCCTCTGACCTTACCACCATACGTGAGGTAGGTCAGTTTGTGTCAGTTATGCATGCATAGACTCATCAGTTCAGTATATCAAATATGTTAAAACTTGGAATGAAGGCTATGTGAGAACGAGCCAATGCTTCAGTCAAGTGGTACCTGATGGCTATGTGAGGACCAGGAGATCATTCAATATGTTTTGTGGGAATTTTATCGATGCTATGTGACACCGGGTTCCCTTAGTAACTAATGTCTAATGGCTATGTGAGACCAGATACTAGTCAGGTTTGCATTCAGATAATGCACAGTATGGCAGGTTTGCATTCAAATAATGCACAATCTGTCAGGTTCGCATTTAGATAATGTGTAGTAGTTCAGGCATTAGGGTTATAAACTCTTTAGAGGTGTACTCATGGTGAGCCCTTAGCAGAGGATTAAGGGAAGCATGAGACCCCTACTTCAGTGATAGAGCAATAAAGCCTTAAGTAGGTAGCAATTGATCTAGGTCATGCATGCACCTACTGCTTAGTATCATGTCTTCGGCATGCTTTTGTTTATAAAATTCTTATGTTGCTCTAGATTAGTGATTATACTGTTGGGCTTTGTAAGCTCAGCCTTTGGATGTTTTCTATTGGCAGGTTGGTAGCTTGGGCAGTTCCAAGAGCACCGTCACAGCAGGACTTCCAGCATCTCTGACAGAGTATTGTACTGTAGCTTTAGTATTCATATAACTTTACTCATGTATTCAGTTTATTAAACTCATTGTTGTATTATTTTGATTTTAAACTGTGTCACAAAGATCCGGTTTGGTAAAATGGTTTTATAACTATTATTTATGTTTGATTATGATACCATTCAATATGTTTGAAAAGAAAATGAATATGTTTTGAAAATCAGGGGTTGCCTCAGTAGCTTAGTGTAACACTTTGGGCCCAATCAGATTTAGGGTGTTACAAATAATGCTTTTTTACATAGAGATTGGCAAGTAGAAGTGTATATGGATCTGCCTCTTGGTTTTCATTCCAATAAACCTGGTGTTGTTTGTAAATTGAACAAAAGTTTATACGGCTTAAAGCAAGTTAGTAGGAAATGAAATGAAAAATTGACTACTGCTCTGCTTACTCAGAATTTTACTCTAGCTGCTTTTGATTCTTTTTTATTTAAGGGAGTAGGTTCTAAGTTTATTGCTTTAGTCATTTAGGTAGATGACATCATTCTTGCTAGTGAAGAAATGGAGGAGATTAGTAAGATTAAAACTTATTTGCATGATATGTTCAGAATTAAAGACCTGGGAGATTTACAATTTTTCTTAGGACTTTTAGTTTTTCGCTCTAAAACTGACATTATTTGTGTCAGAGGAAATATACATTGGATTTGTTACAGGAAACAAGTTTTTTAGGTTCTAAACCAGTTTCAACTCATATGGTTACAAATAGTAAACTTGCTAGAACAGAAGGTCAACCTCTTTCTGACACTAGATATAAGAAACTTGTTGGTAAGTTGTTGTATCTTACAAATATAAGGCCAGACATTGCTTATGTTGTGCAGCATCTTTCTTAGTTTTTGTCATCTCCTACTGAAGCTCACTTAACTGCAGCTCATAGAGTTCTTCGTTATTTGAAAGTAACTCCAAGACAAGGTTTGTTTTTTCCAACAGAAAAATGACCTGAAACTTAAGGCTTTCAGTGATTCTAATTCGGCTGCTTTTCCTGATTCTCGAAGGTCACTTACTGGTTGTTGTGTTTTTCTAAGTTCTGCTTTGATTTCTTGTAGGTCTAAGAAACAGCAAATGGTTTCTCATTCCTCAAGTGAAGCAAAGTATAGAGCTTTAGCAACTATCACTTGTGAAATACAGTGGCTTCAGTTCCTTCTTAATGATCTTCGTATTCCTTTTGTTCCAACAAATCTATATTGTGACAATCTTTCAACTATTCGTATTACAGAGAATCCTGTCTACCATGAACGTACAAAGTACATAGAGATTGATTGTCATTTGATCGGACAGAAGCTGCAGCAAGGAGTCATTGTATTAATGACAGTTTCATCTCAAAATCAGTTTGCTGATTGTTTTACAAGCTTTACCTACAACTTCTTTTCAGAGGTCATTTTCATGTTGGGCATTCAAAATTTGTATGCTCCAACTTGAGGGGGGCTAACAGAATGTATAGTTGTGCATAGTTATGTAAACGAATAGTTAGTTAGGAGGTAGTTAAGAGTTAATAGTTAATATAAATATAAGTGTAAAAGTATCAGTTTAAAGTAGTGAAATAAAAGCTTTCTTTTCTATTTTCTGTAAACTTTGTTAGCCTTAGCAGACTGCCCATAAACTGAGAGTGGATTGGAGTATAGGTGAAAGTTGATGGCATGATATTTCATTATTTTAGTGAAACGATAATGAATAAACTATGCTTGTACTTAATGGAGTGCTTCAATGCTATGCATCTTATGGTACGTGAGAATGAGTGGAAGGATCATGATATTATGTTGTTGTTTGTGTTCTACGAAGGCCTTCGCCCCTCCACCGATCATGATCATGGTGGAGATAGTGCGATATTCTTTTCTCTTTCTTGTGCATAGTGAGAGTTATGATCATATTGTTGTGTTCCGATGCCTAGCGTTTGTTGAATGTTTGTACTGATCTAGTGTTGGTATCCCATGCTATTGAATATAATTTCTACATGAGGTGCCTAATTTTCTTTTTTTCTTTCTTAACGTGAGTTAATTAACTGCCTTTTTAATAACCTCTTAATGATGAATTTAATGGTTCAATGCAAATGTTAACTACGTTACATATACCACACTTCAAAACAGCCGGTTTGGAACAAAGTTTTACTGAAAAAGATCAAAGGACAAACTATATATAGAACCATGAATCCTTTAACATTTCATCCACAACAAAAGAAGGGGGAAAACAATGAAAGTGGTGGCATGTACATGGATGCTACTCTCTATGTACCTTTTGGGGCATTATCTCATAGTTTACGGAGAAGCTGATGAGGGTCAAGTCCTCGATAAATTTCTCAACTCTCGCTTGTCGAAAAAACCATCTCAGATTATGCGTTTTTCGGCATGGTTTGATGTAAACACCGATAGCATCCAGGCTCAAGATGGATCCATCGAGACTGATAAAATCAGTGCATTGCCGGGACAACCCGACGGTGTCGATTTCAACCATTATTCAGGATATGTCACTGTTGATTCCAAGGCTGGTAGAGCTCTTTTCTACTATTTTGCCGAGTCCCCCGAGAACTCTTCCACAAATCCTTTGGTTTTATGGTTCAATGGAGGTACGGTTCATTAATTATCCGTCCGGTTTACATTCCGCTTGGTTGATCTGATTTTGGGAAATTTCAGGACCGGCATGTTCTTCGTTAATCGGAGCGATGGTGGAATTAGGCCCTTTTAGAGTAAACAACGACGGCAAGACGCTTTTCCGCAACAACTATGCATGGAACAATGGTCTAACTTCCATTTAATCGGTCGCTTTACATTTAGGTAGCTATGATAATAAATTTAACTATATTTCGGTTCAATATCGGCAGTGGCAAACATAATATTCGTAGAGACTCCAGCCGGAGTAGGCTTTTCGTATTCGAATACGACCTCGGATTATCAGCGTATGGGTGACAAAAGTACGGCAAAAGATGCCTACAAATTCCTCATCAACTGGCTTGAGAGGTTCACTCAGTATAAACCCCGAGATCTGTACATTGCCGGTGAGAGTTACGCCGGCCACTATGTGCCTCAACTTGCGAAAATTATTCTTCATGAAAACAAGAAATCAAATCCAACACTAATTAACCTCAAAGGCATTGCGGTATGTTCAAATCACTATTTACTGTAACTATTTTTTTACTTTTTAAAAAGTATTCATTTACAACGTATATTCGAATATATTTTTCAGGTCGGGAATGGTTGGATTGATGATCCTACAGATTATTTAGGCCAATATGATTATTTATGGACACACGCCTTGAATTCAGATGAAACCAACAAAGGAATTCACACCTATTGTCATTATTTCAATGATACGGATCCAGAACAATGTGCAAACTTCATCAACAAATCCCGTATTGAGCGTGGTAATATTGATCGGTACAACATTTATGCCGCACGTTGTCAACTCAATTCTTCTTCGTCCATAAAAATCTCATCCGAATCGGTAAGACGATACATATAAACCCAGACGTGAATTATACCATCTCTTAAAAGTGACAATATGAACCAATTATATATATATAATCATACGATTCTCATTTCAGATTAACGGTTTCGATCCATGCTCGAACCACTATCTGTTATCTTATTTGAATAGAGCAGACGTTCAGACGGCTCTACATGCAAAGGTTTCAGCTTGGGATATATGCAAGTAATTGTACCCATCATCTTGCTTGTGTGGTCAATTTTAGTTTCAGTAAACGTAAATGTAACCATATTATATTGTACCGCTCAGCCGCTCGATGTATCGTGGCTGGAATGATAAAGCTACAACTATTTTACCCATCATCAAGAATCTCATGGCAAATGGCATCAGAATTTGGTTATACAGGTCAACACCTCTATTGTTTTTTTTTCGCATTGGGTTCATATAATCATCTTTAAAAAGCGACAGTCGATAGATTCGGAATTCGATTATTTTACAGCGGTGACTTAGATTCAATTGTTCCAGTTACATCGACCAGATATGCCATAAACAAACTCAAGCTTCCCATCAAGACTGCTTGGCGTCCATGGTCCAGGGATGAGGAGGTAAGAACAAAACCGAAAAACCAACATTTCGTGTTAAATATCGAGTTAAATAACGTTGAAATGTCTTAACAATCAGGTGGGAGGATACGTGGTGGAATACGACGGTCTGACGTTTGTGACGGTGAGAGGCGCCGATCGTTTAGTCCCGAGCTACCAACCGGCTCGTGCTCTTGCCATGATTTCCTCATTCCTCGGAGGAGCTTTGCCTCCACCAGTACCAATTCAGAACAAGAGCAGAAGATGACTATGTTGATGCTCGTTTATAGTTTTTCAACTAATAATTACGTGTACGACATAAATGTATTTTTCAAATAACCTGTAATGCGATATCCATTGATCGATAATTTTTCGTAAAAACATCAAAGAGGACAAATGAAGTTCTAAATAGAGAAAATCGCCTCAGTGACAAAAAATGTCTTATAATATACGATTTTAATCAACTTTTTTTGGATTTGCCAAAATGACCAACAAAATCGCAACGCGATATCAAAATCGCAACGCGATTTAGAAAATCGCAACGTTGAAAAGAAAATCGCAACGGTCAAAAGAAAATCACAACGCGATCTTCCAAGAATCGCAATGCGAGCCAAAGAATCGCAACGCGATTGAGAAAATCGCAACGCGATTCCAATAATCGCAACGCGATTGAGAAAATCGCAACGCGATTCCAAGAATCGCAACGCGATTGAGAAAATCGCAATGCGATTCCAAGAATCGCAAAACGGCAAAAGAAAATCTCAAAAGCAGTAGAGTTGTTCGTATTGCATTTGTTTCTTAAAAATTTTCTCTAAAAAGATAGTATCCGCGCGGACGTGTCGAAGACACGTATTACCACGACCACGACCACGACCACGACCACGACCACGACCCGAGACGAGACGAGACGGCGGCAGCGGCGGCGCGCGAGAGTCCCCCTTGTTCTCTTTCACTCAACAAGGAAATGAGAAATCCAAGCCTTAAATACACTTCCCAATAGTGTTTCCAATACTATGTGGGATTGAACATTACCAACAACCTTCACATGTCAACCTATTTTGTGTGCTTAATTTGACTGTGCCATTCACTAAAATTGTTGGAGATTAGTTCATTTGAAGAAGTGTAACTAATAAACCATAAGCCAAGTAAATTGCTTTTATTTGTCGTGAAATGATGTCCCTGCAACCTTTGGTGGAACTTTGGACCTTGTAATAAACTTGAACTATGCTTCCAGTTCCATCCAGTAGAGAATTTAAAATCATAACTTGTAACTTTATCTCCAATATCACAAAGCAACAAAAAATCTACAAGAAATTGATCAGCTATGAGGAGAGTCTTGAATGTAGAATTGTTGTGTATAAATCCACATGTATGCATAACCGGGTAGAAATTATATTTTTATACGGCAACCCACCCTTTTTCACTAAACAAAACAATTTTGGCATACCAAATGAACTAATCTCTCTTATAGTCACACTCAAGCTCTTAGCAAAATAGGTTGACATGTGAAGATTGTTGGTAATGTTCAATCCCACATAGTATTGGAAACACTATTGGGAAGTGTATTTAAGGTTTGAATTTCTCATTTCCTTGTTGAGTGAAAGAGAACAAGGGGGACTCTTGCGCTCCGCCGCCGCCGCCGCCGCCGTCTCGTGGTCGTGGTCGTGGTCGTGGTCGTGGTCGTGGTCGTGGTCGTGGTAATACGTGTCTTCGACACGTCCGCGCGGATACTATCTTTTTAGAGAAAATTCTTAAGAAACAAATGCAATACGAACAGCTCTACTGCTTTTGAGATTTTCTTTTGCCGTTTTGCGATTCTTGGAATCGCGTTGCGATTTTCTCAATCGCATTGCGATTCCTGGAATCGCGTTGCGATTTTCTCAATCGCGTTGCGATTCTTTGAATCGCATTGCGATTCTTGGAAGATCGCGTTGCGATTTTCTTTTGACCGTTGCGATTTTCTTTTCAACATTGCGATTTTCTAAATCGCGTTGCGATTTTTGTTTCGCATTGCGATTTTGTTGGTCATTTTGGCAAATCCAAAAAAAGTTGATTAAAATCGTATATTATAAGACATTTTTTGGTCACTGAGGCGATTTTCTCTTCTAAATAACATCATATAAAAAATTAAAAAATCAATAAATCAATAAATAACTTAAAAAATAAAGAGAAAATAAACTCAGTGACCAAAAATACCTTCTAATATACAAATTTAAGCAACATTTTTTGGATTTGTCAAAATGACCAACAAATTCGCAAAGCGATCTCAAATTCGCAACGATAATTCCAATTTCGCAACTCAGTTTCTAATTTCGCAACGCGAATATGTAAATCACAACGCGATAGTCAAATTCGCAACGCGAAAGTCAAATTCGCATTGCGAATTTGTAAATCGCAACACAGAAGTTAAATTCGCAACGCGATAGTCAAATTCGCAACGCGAAAGTCAAATGTTTTTACGGGAAACACAATATTAATTTCGCAACACAAATGTAAACAGTATTATCGCAAATCATCTCTAACCTAAAACCCTAAAGCACAACTCAGTCCCATCTCCATCTCTCACTCTCTACGGCGACATCCGTCCCCATCTCCGACGAAATCCGTCCCCATTTCCGACGAAATCCGTCTATCTCCATCTCTCAGAGCAACCCTCACAACCATTCACGGTCAGAAATGGAAAATCAACCACCGAGGGTTAGTTTTTTTAATCTCTTATTTTTATTTTGAAATTTTTGTATTATTATTAGATTAACCATTTCACTGAGATTGCTAAATTCATTCGGTTGCTATCAATACTTCTAAACTGTTTAGTCTTTAACCCTGTGAAGTTAGTATTTGTCTTTGTTTTATCTTTTTGTTGAAGAAACCCTAAATCGCAACACCAAATTCGCAACGCGAAACTAAAATCGCGTTGCAATTTTCATTTTCGCGTTGCGATATCATTTTCGCGTTGCGAATTTAAGTTTCAGAAACTTCTTTTATTCTGCAAATTGAAACTTGAATGAATTGCATTACTTCAACCAAAAAACAAAGACAAATACTAACTTCACAGTGTTGCTAATTTAAGTTTCAAGAATAAACTACTACTCTTTATGTTGTCCTTGAACCTGCACTAAACCTATATGTTGTCCTTTTAAATGTTTATATAAGTCCTTACTCCTGGAATGTTCTCTGATGCATTTTGTGAACTATGATGGAATAATGACTTGGGTGAATACCGTGCTAGTTTGAAACATATTTGGCTTTGTTTTCACTGTTTAATATCATGTCTGTTTATAGTGTATAATTTGTAGTTTTTGGTATATCTAACTTGGTATGTTTATTGTTTTTGTAGAAATTTTTTTCGGTTTGTATTAACCTTAAGGAATAAATTAAGCCTAGCCACTAAAATTGCGTCGACGCTTACACCTCTACAAAGAAAATTGTTTGAGGATACTTGCTTCGGGCCATGGCTGAAAGTGCAACATACGGGTGGAGATGCTATGTTGACACATTTGTTTCTTCAGACCATGACTAACGATCTACCCGAGGGGGTACAACGTGGTGATGAGGAGATATGGTTTCATTTTCCTCCGGCACCGGCGTATACTTGTTTTGGGCGGGAGGAGTTTTGCTTAATCACCGCTCTACGCTTCGGACACGATGATGTAGGTCAGTACACTAGTCATATCGCCCGCCCATCATGGTTATATCGGGTTTTTCCTGAGCTGGCAAAGTCGAAGCCGAGTATACACGTCGACGACTTGAAGAGATTATTTGATAAAGATGGTTTTACTCGGATGGATGACCTTGATGTTGTCCGAGTATGCCATTTATTACTTTTGCATGCCGGCTTTTTAGGCAAAGAGGGCAAACAACCAATCTCCGAGGACCTAATATTATTGGTAGAGGACCTAAATGCATGGAACCTGTTTCTGTGGGGTTCATATCTATAGAAAGCTACCTGGAAGAAGTTGTCGTCTGCCTTTGAGGACCGAAAAAGTTTGCGGGGCGATGGTTCTAAATACACTTTGACATGCTTTACTTGGGCCTTTAAGGTAAGAATTTCTATATAATGTTTCCAAAATTATAATTAATTATTTAACAATTACTAATGTTTGTGTATTATATTGTTTTGTAGATTTGGATATTTGAGGCTTTTCCCAGCATGCGGACATATGCGATAAAAAGATCAAATGATATTCCTAGGGCTATTACCTGGAAGAGGATCCGCATGTTGGATTGGGAAGATTTACTCCCATATACGATGATGAATGATGTAAGTTAACACACAAATAATACCATATATAAACAAGTTATTACTAGTACAAGTTTAACTTTGTTTGAGCTTTTATATTGTTAGGAGGCCAACTATCCATTACAGAGGCTGACACCCACAGAGGCTGAGCTTGCCACTGATTGGTGGCAAGCTAGTAAGCGGTTTTTTGATGGGACGGATGATGAGCACCCCCCCCACTTCGAGAGCCATCACCTGATCGGGCCGATTCTACAGCTCGACACCCGGAGCCATTACCTGATCGAGCCTCTTCTCCACCTCCACCATCACCTATTCCATCACATCATCGATCCTCTTCTCCACCATCACCTCATGATATGCGACCGGCAAAGAGGCCACGGCATTTATCTCCCTGTTCTCCACCTCCACAGGATGAGTTAGGGGAATTACGTGATGAGGTCAGTGCTTTGCGTCATGAGGTCGGTACTTTACGTGAAGATAATGGTGCATGGCGTGATGAGGTTCGATCATTATGTGGTGAGGTGGATTTTTTATGCGATGACAATGGTGCGCTACGTGGTGAGGTATCTACTTTACGTGATGAGGTTGTCGCTCTACGCGAGATTGTTTCATCGTTGTAGAATGAGGTTCATACTCTACACAGTGAGATAAATTTGTTTAATACTATACTAAAAATGCAAATAACCTTTTTTCGACATTATTTATTTACTGATTTATGTATTAATTTATTTTCAGCGGCCCGATAATGTAGATGTTTTACGTTGGGTTTTTCTTGCACGACGGGGTTCACGCATCAGACGTCGTGCACGTGCCATTACGTCCCCATTCACCCCACTAGTGCCAAGACTCCGTAAGAAGAAGCCCGATACACCTATCATCATTCAAGAGGCGTCTCCTATCGTTCAAGAGGCCCCTCTCATCATCGAAGAAGCCCCTCCCACCGTTCAAGTGGCCCCCGTCATCGTTCAAGAGGTCCCGCCCGCCGTTCAAGAGCCCGATGCATATGGCGTCATATGTCGGCATATTGATAAACCCCTCGCGTGCTCGATATGATGGATACGA